CGGAAGCTTCTGGACCGGGGCCCAGCACAGCCAGGCCGCACGCAGCTGGCAGGGCACTTCCATATAGGAAAGGACTTGCCCCTGCATTTCGCATTTGGGCACTGGCTGCATGCTGCGCAAGCGCTGACCAGGCCCGCGCGCTCTCGGGCAAGCAGGGAGAGCAGGCAGCCATAGCCGAGCTGTGCTGCGCTGAGCTGGATGGGGCACATGGTGGTTCTTGGGCACGTGGCATCTTCGAGTGGGGGATCGAGGTTGTGAGTGATACGAGAGACATACCTGGTGCTTGAGGTGAACGGCAGTGGCCGAGATCTGCTCGTACTTCGGGGAGCTGTTGACGTCACCAGCGGCATTGTAGATAGGCTAGATAGGATCTGCCATTTGTAGTCTGGACGCAGAGAGCCAGATAGGATGTCGCCATTGGTTCATTGTTGATGATGATGAGACTATTCCAACATTCACTTGTGAGGTTTTGCTGTGCTCTTATTTGGTGGAACTCGTGTCGCAATTCTGCTTTTGGTTCGAGGTCACGACTATCTGGTCTCATGTGTATGATGCTGCTTGGTTTCTGAAGTTCACTATCGCTCATTTTCCTTGCAATTCCTAATTGCTTCTCCAAATTGTCCCAACCAGATACGGAAAAACAAAGGCTTACTACGGCACCCCCTGGGGAGGACATACCAAGCCTAATTCCGAATACTCGACCTTATCCCTGCACCCAGCCCATCTGGCTGAATCACAAACACATGTAAGGCAATCAGGACCGCACTCTCTGTGAGGCAGATATTCAGGCAATTCCAAACACGCAACCAACGACAGACCAGCCTTGCAGAGAGACACACAAATGTAACTTTGCACAAAAAGGACTTCAAACCCTAATGCAATCCGATGAATATAAAAATCGTCACAGGTATGCCCTTTCCAAAAAACAAAACACAACCCCACATACAATCCTTGCCATGCTCTCACAAGAGGAGCACCATCACACACCCTCATAGGAACTGCTACCTTTTTTACACCATGACCATCACAACCCCTGTTTCTTTTTCAAAAGGGTGACCGCCTTGAGATATGATCGTTGAGCTGACCAGCCCCAGGCAACTCAGAAATATTTCGTTCTACTCATCAAGTTCCATCATCTGGATTCAAACTCGGGTCTGTATTTCAACAGTTCATGACTGCACGCACGCAACCCCTTTTTCATTTCAAAGAGGCAAAGCTAACATGAAGCCGATGTTTATCGTTCGTGCTATAATGATGAAAACCTTTGAGACATTTAAAACAAAAACCCTCGCACCCACAGCATGAAGCAAATTGAAACCCTCACGCCCACAAGACAAAAAAACACATATCGGCATACAGCCAACTGCACGACGTTAGTCCGTGCCAGGAACGAGTGGGAGGAAGGTTCATAGATTTGATATGAAAGTTAATAATGCAACACAACCTTGCTGCAGATACTGCAAAAGAAAAACAGAAAAACATGCCATCATGATCAGGCGCACCAGTGTGACAACAACATACCCTCCACTCCAACCAGCAAATGTGACAACACCACGATCAGCTGCCAAAATTGGTGTCCCTTGGTCTGCCGCAAGATCAACACCCTGAACCAGTGAAACCAGCACTGCAAGTGGTGAGACACGACCGCACTTATAAAGCTGCATATGACTTCAAAAGTTGAATGCTTCTGCCTTTTTCTTACAATGGCAGGCCAAGCACAGTGGCACATAACAGCGCCAAAGGCCGCATAAGACCAAAACTTGATAAAAGAATATATCTTGATGCTTTTTCCGCTAAAACACTCCCTACCTTCTGCAGTGGCAGTCCAACCACAGCACCATGTCAGACAGGAAAAGAGTATTACCTTTACCAGTGTTACCTGTCTGAACGTTCGGGGGGAGGTCTACACACCCCCACCGAAAAAAACGTTAGGGGTTCCCGCCGAACGTAAGGCAGCCGAACTTTTGAGAAGTTTGGCCCCCGTCAAAAAGTAATCCAGGCCTCAATTTTTTTTTAATTTTTTTTTGAATGTTTTTGTGTTAATAGAACCTAATACTTTGCAACATAAGGCATACGCCTGTATATTTTCAGGTCATTTACTTGAGTGCAAAAAAAGATAAAAATGGCCAAAGATGGTGGTGCAAGGAATATGAGCGAGAGCGATAGACAGAAATCCAAGTTGCAAAATCACAAAGTAGCCCAGATAGTCATGGACCAAGAAGAGAGCACAATTCACCAAGATTCCGTCCAAATAAGCGCAATACAATGAACCCGAGTGCCAATGCCGACGCTCTCTGGTCACACCAACACCGTATCCAATGTCGCTCCTACTGTCTGGAGCCCAGCGCCCAGCCTACACTACTCAGCCTATCTATCTTATTTACGTTCATGCGACTGGATTACATCGAAGTTGAAGACCAATGTACGTGACGTCATCACCAATGCCGACCGCCAGCATACACCAGGTATGGTCTCTCCTCCCCTCATCACACCTTGATACCCTCTGCATGCGGCTCCTACCCGAAGACCACCATCGCCGTCACCTGCATCTGCGCTTGCTGCCCGGCTATGGCCGCTGTCTGCCCACTGCCACCACACTGCCCTCTCACCTCTCAGCGCCTGTATGTGCCCCAGCCTGCCAGCGCTAAGCAGCACTCATCCGGCAATGCAGCAGCATGGCTGGATTGGCTTGGCAGGCCGGAATGCCGTGCCCAGGGGGCACACACTTTCCCTTATGGAGAGTGTGCCCGCTGCTGGCTGGCCTGGCCAGGTGTGTGGGGGCCCAGTAGCTCCAGTCTTGCCCCAAGTGTCTGCGCCCAGGCCCAGTTTCAGATACTGGCCTGGGCCTCGTGCAGTTAGCCACGTTCAGGCAGCCACCCAGCCTCCGAGCGTTCGCAGCGTTCTCAATGGCTCGCAGTGCACGTGTGACAACAATGCTGTTTTCTCATTGGCCCGTGGCCAGTCCGTGATGTGTCGGCCTCACACAGCATGTACCCAGGGAGCAACCACCTGAGCCCGGTGTTCAACTGCACAGCGCAGCCCTTTCTTCTGGAAGGAGCGTGAAGGCTAATGTTGCTCTGTAACCAACTGGCGTGCTGCAACTGTCTGATTCCCCACATATGAAATATGTCGAACGTGGGGCCTCATGAAATGAGCCAAGTACTCATCAAGTTCAACCTCGCATACATCACATGAGACTTCACACGTGAGAAGCCAAATCAAGATACAATCAACACTTGAAGATGTCGTCTCCAATATTATTATCAATATACAAGAATGTTGGCCTCCAGCAGCTCTGCCACACACACATGCAATGGATCTCAACCAGATAACGGCTATGGCTTCTTCCCCTCTTCTCTCTCTCTCTGACTTGCCTCCCTCTGCCTCCCTCTGCCTCTCTCTCTCTCTCTCTCTCTCTCTCTCTCTCTCTCTCTCTCTCTCTCTCTCTCTCTCTCTCTCTCTCTACCCTGGATCGTTACCCTGGAGACACCCAATCAGGCAGCTTACACCTTGGCGGCTATGGCAGCCGTCCTCCTGCTCTACGTCTAGCCTAGCTATGCAGTATCTCACAGGCGCCCTCTCCTTCTTCAGGCGCGCATTGCCGAAGTTGCTTTAACGCACAAGCAGCAGCAGCGCTTCTGCATCTCACAGCTCAACAAGTGATGAACAGCTGCACTGTAGCAGACTGGTACCGGTCAGCCGCGGCCTGTCTGCTGCAAACATTTTGTCGGCCAGTAGCTTCTGGACTTTCCTGGGACATGCTGCAAAATTGGACTTGGGACTGTCGGACTGGACTGGACGCTTCTGGACTTTATTGTCAGGTGCCGGACGGACTCCTACCGACTTACAATGCTTCGGTACAGACACCTACCAACCTATGACGCTTCGGTACCGACTTACAATGCTTCGGTACAGACACCTACCAACCTATGACGCTTCGGTACCGACACATACTGCGTCGCTTCGGCCTCTAGACCCTACGACCTACCCTATCGAGCAGCCCTGGGACTCGGGATTTGTCGGGACCCTGGGACCGGGACTGGGTGTCTGCAGCGTGAATCCTTTCACTCATGTGGATATTCAGGCCCGCCTTCACTTAGGGCGGGCACAAGGTTGCTGAGGGCTGCAGCCCTGAACAAGATTCCCCGCGAGGGCTCATTCCTCGCAGTGGTGTCAAAACATGCTCTCTACAAATCACTATTTTTCCGTTTTTGCTTTGCCTTGCATCTTTTGTTTTGGGGTCTAAATATTTTCATTATTTTTTCAAAATTATGTTGCAAGTAAAAAAGATTCCCCAAATACCTAAAAACAAAAGAATCATTGAAAAAGTTAAATATTTCACTACATCCATAATCCGATATTTGTATTTATCCCCATTATCCCCGATAGTCGGAATCGCAAGTAGTACAAGCAAGCTTCACACCTCACGGTGCTTTTACTTCTCGAAGAGCAGGCGATTTTTTCCTTTCATCTTTGTCACTTTTAACTTTTTTGTTATTTAAGTGGACCATCCACTCGTTTACAAAAGATTTTTAATTTCACAATTACTAAGTCACTGGTTACTCAAAATCATGGCTGTTCTGTCGAGTTTTCCTGTTTTACAATTGCTATATCATTTTCAACATTCAACAGTCAATTGTTTGACTTGAATTCAAATAAAAAATGAACTATATCATTCTCTGATTTTTTGTTTTGATTGCAATATCAAGTCAATCTGTTCCAAAAATTTAGGATTCAATAATTTCATCTCAGAGATCCAGCGTTGTTGAAATTTAGCATCTTTGTAAAGCAACATCTTTTTTCTTAGCATACTATATACGACCAGGTGGCGTTGCACAAGATTTACCCTTGGGTTTAAGCGAAGATCTTTTTCTATCAAAAACCGATGCCTTTCCACTTGGCTATACTCCAATGAGATAACACGACCAACCAACGGCCTCAATGTCTTAGCTAAGATCCAAAGTCAAAAGGGAAACAGCCCAGATCGTACGCTAAGGTCCTAAAGATCCCTGGGGAATCCCCTTTCTAAATACTCTTATTTTGGAACATCAGGTGTAAGCATATCAAATTTCAGGGAACTTGAGCTATTACAAAAAAAAAAAAAGGCTAAAGATCACCGTGTAAAAAAACAAACAAACGAAGTACTGAGAGGGAAAACCTGTTTTCGACAACACCATCTTTGCCTTTTTTTTAATTTTTTCTTTTTTTTTTAGCCACTGAAATGACTCGAAAATTCAGCCAAACTAAAAATAGTTCGGCCGAATGCCCAAAAAAATCGGCCCGAAAAACTTTTCGGCACGCATGGGGGCGACCAAATGTTCAGCCGTTTGACCCATCTCATTTGGGCCGGACCAAACGTCGGTAACTACGAGCTTTACAGTGTTTACACCTAACACCATCTGCACGCATCTCCTTGAACCAACAACTTGAAAGAAAGCCTTTCTAAGAGTTTACTATGGGGGGACATGTGAGCTGAAGAGGTGCCAGGGAGCGAGAAGTTGATACCTGTGTCTTCACCGGAATAGAATACCTGGTCATTATCACTGTATCTAGACTGAAAGCTGCCCCAAATACAGCTATAATGACCAGGCGTTCTATTTGGGTGAAGACGGTAGTAATTAAGGCAGATGCAAGGAATATGACCGAGAGCGATAGACAGAAATCCAAATTGCAAAATCACGAAGTAGTCGTACACCAAGCAGAAGAACAATGCACCGAGACCAGGTATCCATTTTGCGTAGCATCCTGGTCAGAATCTCTGGCGCCATGGCTTCATCGGGGCCTGCTTCTGCGAGCTTGGTTCCTAGAAATCGCAGGGGCGTCCTTGGGTCTTGCCACTCGAATCCCTTGGGGGAGGCGGCTTGTGGGGGCAGTGGACAGACTGCCAACCACCAGCCCATCTTCTTATGCCAGTTGACTTGCATTTCGGAAGCAAGCTGCAACGCTTGCATGGCTCGAGTAAGACCCTGGAATGATGCTTCGGAGGTGTTCTCCATGCTGTGGTACGCTGCTATGATTTGGACACCAGAGGCCAACATGGTTACCACTCTCAAACGGCAAGCCACGACCTACGTATGGATGGGGAACCCCACTGCACAACACTTCATACCCAAGCTTGGTTGGTCGCACCTCGTCCAACCAAAGGGTTAAGGCGGATTGGGGCTCCTCAACCCGGCCACCCAAACCAAAGCCCTCCAACGAAGTGGATCGTCAAGCTGTTGCTACAGCAACGACTGCCCTGGACGTCGCTGGCCTTGCACAGGGTCAGGCAGCTGCCCAAAGCCACCACCCCACCCAACATGTAGGGGCTTTTCTGTCTAATGTTGAAGTCTTGGTCGTTCCGCGGCAGTCCCCAACAGATGGATCCACAGCAACAGATGCCACCGTTGACACGCTTAACCAAGATCTGGCGAGAGATCTTCGGCCAAAGTCCGGAGCCCTGCCAACAGAGAGGAAGTCCTGCATCAGCCCCTCTTCTGCAACCAGTGGTTGAAAGACCCCTCCGACAAACCATGGACCCCGACGTCACAGGATGGCTGCTGGATTACGTGGCTTGAACGAGGCATGTGGCAACTCAAACACATCTGGAACCGCCACTGCAATC